GGGGGGCGGGGGGAGGGGGGGGGGGGGGGGGGGGGGGGGGGCTAATCTTAGATCAAGTTTTGCCATTTTTAAGCCAGTCTGTGTGCCCCATACTTTGGTTCTGTTACGTGTGTAGACCAGTTTCTGATTACGTATATCGGTAAAAGTGTAGTGTCTGCCTGGCCTAAAACAAAATCCTGCTCTACTCTTATAGTCGCTTTCTCAGGAAAGTCCTGGTTGTCATTGTCTAGTGTTTATACTGTAATACCCTCCTGTAGTATGGGGTATATACTGTAGTATGGGGTCTTGCAAAATAAAGGAGATGAGGAATGAAAGCCAGGCAGGGTATCTAAACAGAAATTTAAGGTTTAATTTTTGAAATGTTGGGAATGAAGGATGAAGAAATGTTTACGTTGGAAGACAGAAGAAACAAATGTACAGGAAAAGAGTAAGAAATGCAGGTCTTCTGTTTGAATAGACATGGTAAGAAGTCCATTGAGAAACACGTTGAAAGTTCAGTCAGGTAATTCCAAAGATAAGCTCTTCTTGCTAAGAACATCCTTGCTTTCAGACTTCTCTTTGGGCTTCATACCCGAGACTTTTTGAGAAGAAACATCCTAGAAATTCAGTTTGGGGACTTGTAGGAGAAAGGCCATGCCTATTGCCTTTTCTACTGCTTTTTTCCTTAAAGTTTCCTATGGTTGTATTCCCACTGGAGCAACTCCTCCAACAAAAGGTAACTTTGGGAATTGTAGGAGTGACTTCCTGGCTCCACTGAAATCAATAGCAAATTTTCTATTTTAACTGGAGCAATGAATTTGTCCCAGGTGTTGACAGTTGCTCTTTATTATTGATTATCCTAAATTTACTAGCTAGGTACAGAAATTTACACACAAACCAGTATAAGTGATCAGAAACTGGTTCAGATTGGTAAAACAAGAGAAGTTGAGTACACACATATTGCTTTCAAAATGGCCAAAACTAGTTTAAGATGAACCTGGATGGATGTAGTATCAGTCTTAACTGATTTGTGTTAAATCAGTTTATTGCACTTCTCTTCCAGAACCCTTCCAGATTCAAATTAACTCTGTCCCCCAGCATCCCAGAATGCTTTGTACGTCTCCTGCAAACCCCCTCTGGTGGGGTGGGCAGGCCAGCCTTGGCCAAAGCTGTCTGCTCCAGCAGAGCAGGGAGGCGTGCTGTAGCACACCCTTCTCTCCCCACCCTTTCCAGCTTCGGGCCTGGGTCACTGCAAGCATGTGACTGCATTTCTGGACTCAAACGTGAATGTCTGTTCACTTGTTTATGGGTTCAGTCTGCACAGCTTAGCGTGACCTGCAAAGATTGAATCAATTGAGCCTTAGGCTTTTTGACCGTCTGTATTGAGTCATTGTGAGCGTTTGCATGTACAACACTGTTGTACATCTATATGCATTTTGTTGAACTAATAAGGCAGCCTAAAGTTCAGGTATGGACACTAATACCCAAAACCTTTACAGCCAGAGGAACTAGAACTATCTACCAGAAGATAATGCAGTAATTTAGTGGACTGGAATTCAAGCTGTCCTCAATAGCTTTATGTAAGGCCTAATAGGCTTATAGAATAAATATAAACTGTAGGAGAGTCATTAAAGGTTTAAAGCTGAGAAGTTCTATCTATATTTACCCTATATTTCTATACAGGAAAGGAAATACTTGTCTTTGGAACAAGCCCGGAGAAAAGGTTTCCATAATGACTGGCTGTCAGATTGTAAACCAGGTCAGTGTGCAATTTTTTAATTGAACGCTAAGCTTCATAAACTCACAAGGCGGCAATGTCTTTTGTGAAACAGCTTGAAAATAAATTGGTTTCTTTTGGATTTGAAGGGTTTTCCTGTTGCACAAATGAAGTGTCCCCTTTTTCTCTCCTGCAACTGTGTAGTTGTCCCATTATATTTAATATCTGAATTTTTTTCAGAAATTAATTTTTATTGCTACGGATTAGTGGAAAAAAACTTAAGTTCTTCACAAGTGTCCATTATAGTACCTGAAACAGTACCTACTTTTATAAGATAGAACTGACGGGCAGGAACTTGCTTGTACCATTGGAGCTTGATATTGCAATCAACTATAATCCTTTTCATAAACTGATTGAGCTCCATTTTAACATGTAACATTTAAGTTGGTCTAATAAAAGATACAGATTTACCCAAAGAACCTTATCTGCCTATGTCCTTAGATCAACACAACTACAGCCTACACCCCCATTTTAACATGTAGGCTTTTTGCCCCATGTATTTCTTTTCTAAGGTGGTTGAAAACCTCGTGACTTTGATTAGGTTCCTTCTAATTTTCAGCCTAAATTTATTCATCAACAGTTTATAACCGCTTGGTTATAGTACCAATGTTTGTTCTTTAACCCAAATATGTATTTTTTTTCCTCTGTAGTGTATACCCCATAATATTTTCATAGAGAGCAGTCATAATGCCTTTAGGTCTTTGGTTTTTTTTACTTCAAACAGTAAGCTCATGTAGACTCCTCTTGTATGGCTCTCCATTTTTCCTCCAAACATCCCAATAATTCATCTCTGTACCTGTTCTAGTTTCAAATGAATCTTTCTTGACCATGGATGACCAGCAATGAACATGGTATTCCTGATGAGGTCCCACCAGTGCCTCGTATCATGGCATTGTTTTTTCTTTTTTCTCCCAGAAATACCTTGCCTCATAATACTTTCACAAGTAAATCATGCTGCTGAAATGCAACGCTTAATTTTCATTAACTAATCTCTATAAATGTCCCAGTAACAGTAGCAGGAAGGGTAAGAAAGAAGCAGCTGGAGAACCAATGGCTACACCATGGCAGTGCCCCTTTCTGCTCTTTTGTATACCCAATCCAGTACAGGTGTGTGGAAATTCAAAAAGTTCTATAACTTCCTGACCACTTTTATAATTGTTCTGAAACTTAGCAGCACTCAGTGCTAATGACTGTCAGGGCTCTGTATGAGTATAGGATTAGGCCCTATGACCATAAATATAAAAAGCACTTAAAATGGATCAGAAGCAGCAGTAATTCATCCATTACCTTCTACTAGTTCTTGCAGTCAGCAAAATGACTTCAAGCCCAGCACAATTTAAGTGCGAATCAATACTGTTCGGGACAGACCAATACAGAAACCTGACTCGTGAGTGGATTTTAATGCCTGATAACAAAGACATAACTAGAAGCTTTGTGCCCTGGGTGATGGCAGCTGCCATTTTTGCACCCCCTCAAAGATGGTGCCTGGAGTGGGTGCCTTGCTTGCTTACCCCCAGTTATACTACTGCCTCATGATCTTCTAAGCCAGGGGTTGGCAACCATTTAGAGCAGCAGGCCACTGCTTGCAACCTAGCGACCACACCATGGGCTGCCACTCTTCCACCATTTCCCACCCTTCCAATGCCCAGGCCTACCTGCTGCCACCTCCGCTGTCTCTATCACACTTTTCTGTCCCTAGTGGCAGTGGGGAGGGTCAAACTTGACGGGAACCATGAGTAGCACATGACATAGGGGGTGGATCACTGTGGGTGCGGGAGGGAATTGGTGGCAATACATGGAGTGAGAGGAGTGGGTGATGCACTGGGCCAAGCTGCATACTACCCATCCCCCATGCTGCTGCGGGCCAAACCCAGCATTTCACATGTTGCATCCAGCCTGTGGGCCATAGACTGCTAGCCTCTGTTCTATGCAGTGCTTAGACTGACTTCAGTTAATTGTGACAGTTTTACAAGGATGATACCTGTCATTATTTTATTGTAGCATTCCTGTGGTAGTAAGGGTTCAACGGTGCAGTTTTAGGAAAGAGAAAACTAGGTTATATAAAGCGGTAAATTGTGTTCACGTGTTGCATTGCATAGGCAAAAGATGCACAAAAAAGTATACCTTTTTTTAATGACAAATGGTATTTTCAATTCCTACAGTTAAACCTAGATTCATTGGCACTCAGGTATTTGAAGATTATGATCTGCATAAGCTGGTTGAATATATTGACTGGAAGCCTTTTTTTGATGTCTGGCAACTTCGGGGCAAATATCCCAATCGAGGATTTCCTAAAATCTTTAATGATAAAGTAGTAGGTAAGTACTGAAATAATCATAAAGGGAAATGCAGACAGATATTAGATATTTTTCTAACTGTACAGAAATATACAAAGATAAAAAAAAAGTATGTGGACAACTTAAATTTGAGAAATGTTGTAAAATATAGCAGCAGTATTTTGAATTTTAAAATGGTGGCCGAGGAAAGTCCGTGAGAATTTTCTGACATCCATCTAAAGAGTCAGCCTGTGTCAAAATAAAGGAAACATTTTTGATTGGTGGAAAAATATTAGAGGGCATAATATAGCTGTATTCATTGCTGGAGAACACTGTTAGCCATGACTTCTAATAGGTATGATCTCCAAAGTACTTTGAAATAGGTCATAAAGCTTCAAGTGTATGTGGAACTTCTGAAACTTGGTGTTCTTTTTCTGCTACACTGGTTATGCAAGTGCTGTCACTACAGCATCTTGCCGTCACTCAGCTTTACCATTCTTGCCTGTACAAGTATTTTGGCGGCTGCATCTCTTGTACATAATATGCATGTCACAACCACATAAATGCTAGAGGTTTGCAAAACGGGTCGTATTTGGTTCGGATTCGGCCTGAATCAGGGACAGTGCTTCAATTCGTTGATTCAGATCACTGTCTCGTTTTGATTTGCCTGAATCCAAATCTGAAGATTTGATGCTGATTCAGGGGATTAGTGATTCAGCCATAGACACAGTTTTAAATGTTTTTTTTCTATGTACCTCAAGGTACCAGGCATGGCTCGTGAATGTTGCGATGCTGGGGCAGATGGAGCATCCCACAGGAGCACGGGGGGGCTCCCTGTGTGCTTGGCGGTGGACCCGGAAGTGGACCAGAAGTACTTCCAGTCCATTTCCGGGTCTGCCACTGAGCACACTGGGAAGCCCTCCCTGCTTCGGTGATCAGCTGTGGAGGGATCCCGGATGCGCCCCCAAACCCAGGAGGCACTAGTCACTGAGCCAGCGGGGGCCCCCCTGGTGCACTCCCCAGCAGACCCAGAAGTGGACCAGAAATGCCTCTGGTCCATTTCCGGGTCTGCTGCTGAGCACTCTGG